AATAAATTTACCAAAAATTGGTTTAAACTAATTATTATAAAAAAATATTTAAGTGCGATCCTTATCTAAACATAAAGAAGATATTCGAATCAAGTGCCTTAAATAATCCTTAATTTAAAAGAATATTAATGATATAATTTTGTAAAAATTGTTTAAACAAATTATCTAAATTTTTTTTCAAGTTATTCTGTGCATCAAAAATTAATACAAAATTACAATAAAACATAATTTTGCAAAAAAATAGTTTGAATAACTTAATTTTGAAGATAAATATTATCAACCCCTGCAACCCTTACACATCTGTTTATTTCGTTACAGGAAAAAATATATCTCTTCTAGAAAAAAATATAGTCAGATATAAAAATTTATGCATTGTTAATAAAAAAATAAATAACAACTTAATTTTGGAATTTGGGCTTCGTGAGTATCTTTGGAATTTATTTTTAAACAGTTCTGTACAAAAAAGGTTCAATTTGATTAATATTTAAGGTATCTAGGTGGTTTTGAAGTCTTTGTCCCCAGCGTGGGTAAGGTTAGGTACTACTAGACCAGGCTACCACCGCGCCGCAGCGCCGCGTGTGCGTGGCCAAAGGATTTATCTACCGTTTTATAAACTTTATGTTTATGATAGTAATCTTTTCTAATGACTTCATAGTAAGTTATGCATGTATATATACACATCGTCAATAATGTAAATAAATAAATACATTTATAATTTACTTACATCATTAAATACTAGTGGATTTTCCCCAAATCATGCTGTGACTGTGGGTATTACATGCATAGTGATTGTACGAATGTTCCAGAGTTGTTAAATGCACGACATAAAATATTTCATCATTCTACATTAGATAATTTAAATACGCATACTACATGTGTAGTAGGTGTGGGTGATTCCGTGTGACGTCGCCGGGAGTGCCACGTCCGCACTGAGAGTGTGTGTGTGAGGGGCGCGCACGTGTGGGTGCGCGCGTGCCGCGCGGCTATTTCTGCGACAGTTGGAGGGCCCGCAAATAGCGCGCCGAGAATACCGCGCAAAGGTTAGCTAAATATCGGCACCGCAGCACGCGCCCGCGCCTGCGCCCGCGCCGCCTCGCTTCCGCCCGCGACCCACGCTCACGCGATGCGCACTGTTTACTACGAACCTAGATCTTCTATTATTTGTGAACTAACTACTTACAAAGGCTTTGATCAAGTATCAAATACAATTAACTAAATTAAATTTTAAATATTTATCGTCATGATTGAATTAATACATAATTGTCGCCAGCCACTAAAATATGGATACCGATTTTAGTGCATGCTGCCACTGGCAGCCTTGCCTTGACGCTCTCAGAGGCCTAGCCTTGAGAGTATAAGTTTGTTGTTATAATGTTGAAAATACCATTTACTCCACCCGCGTGTATGTCGGTTTTCGCGCTAAAAAGTACCCTATGTTACTCGCAGATAATGTTTTTTTTTTCAAATCGGTTTAATGGTTTAAGCCTGAAAGGGTAACAACGGAGTAACTGCTAATCCTATATCGCGATATGAGTTATTCTCCCGCCGATTAGCATATATGCAAGTTCCCAAAATCAACCGGTGGGCCGCGGCCCGACAACATGACCACCTCGCCTGGTCGAAGAATCCTCAATCTGTTTTGAAGGGACATGACACCCGTTCCCCCACAGTATGTCCGTCACTTAATGAAAATAGTAAAAGTTATATAGTATAGACGGGTCACCTGATAGTAAGCAACCACCGCCGCCCATGGACACCTCAAAAGTCACAAGTGCGTTGCTGCCCTTGGAGCCAGCGAGGTTATTAGCAGCTCATAAGGTTTGTTTTCATATTTTTAAAGAATAGGTAGGAAATAATATTCTTTCAAAATAAAAATGCGATCAGGGCACTTCGATACTCGCAGTTGGTAACGTTAGTTACTCGCAAGAACTGAATGAATTCAAATACCTCCGTGCACAAAGTATATTTAGTGATATAAATGTTAAGTATATGAGCAAATATACAGATAAGACAACAGTAAGATGCCCGGGTGTTAGTGTGTGCCCAAACATGGCAGGCGTGTTTCGCACGCTAAATATTATCATAAACGAATGGCGTTGGCGCGGCCTCACCGCCGGTGGATGTTGACAATTTGACGGTGGCGTGTGAGAGCGGCTCCGCGGCCGTCAATCACGGCCATCGCCACTTCTGAAGCTAGCGGTCGGGGGCGCCCGGTGCAGGTGCCGGTGGGCGCCAAACGCACGACTATTTGCGTGCGTTACGTTTACTTATGTTACTACCTCTTGGTATTTTCCGGTGTTCTATATTGCCGTACCTATTATAGGACATTCTCATCCATTTATAATACATCTATTCTATTCATTTCAATATAAAAACATTTTTAGCTAAACCAAACTGTGTCTTTCATATCTGGCACTCAGAACGACTTTGGCCATAACGCTCTACTAACCTGTCTACAAGAATTTAGGAAGCCCATAGCAAGTAACCACCAACACCAACTAACTTTTACCCCTTGTAAGTGATACCAAACGCAAACATATAAGTGAAACAATATAATATCTGTGCAGCTATAATATGAAAGTTAACGATCGATCTCACGCAGATGCAATATACTCGTACCACACAAACAACAAGAATAGTTAGAGAGTAACACAATGTATTTAGTTATTATCCAGGAGGAATTAAAAACTATTCTATACTGTGTCACTCAAAAAGAATTAATTTTCCCCGTATTTTGCATAATTTTGATAGATAGATGTTATATAGCCCATAGCCTTCCTCGATAATTGGGCTATACAACACTAAAATAATTTATCAATTCGAGCCAGTAGTCGTCGAGATTAGCGCTCAACCAAATAAACAAACTCTTCAGCTTTATGATGAATAGATCTCCTCAATGAGTTTCTTATTGTACGTCGCCAGAGGTTGGGTGCGACACGTGGACGCAGGTATTGCATAGGTGTAGTATTATTGTAGGCTATCTACCACCTCCTCCTATTTCTAGAGCACGCAACTGCCGAATTATAAAAAGATTCGAAATTTAGATCAAAAGGTTCATCGAAATAGAAATATATAAACAATAACATTTCCAAATCTCGTACGTTAATTACTTCAAAATACTGAGCCGCGCATTCGGCCACCTGATTAACTATTGCTTTCTTAAATTAGCTAGTTATCATGAATATCCACCAACTTTGTATAAGAAGGGGTGTTCTGAAACCTGACACTGCTATTGCGGTGCACTATATCTACGCTTCATGCACGAATGGCAACCGCGTCCAGTAGTTCATGTCAACTGATACATATGACAAAGTGTACACTATCTTTGCATCTTGCGGTTAACAATGTCACTTAATGCCATGCTGAGAACACTGAACTGTTACATTCCTCAGTCACTTGGCCCGTAGATATAACTTTCACCTTCTATGAAGATATGGAGCTTGTGTCATAGAGAAGGGCAAGGGCACGAGAACCCGTTGACGTCTCCCCTACATAAAGAGCGGACGCACTTTATTGCTATAAAATACTCCAGCTGAAGAAACGATATTATTGAAAAAGAGTGCAAATAGTTACATCGTCAAACAGCGCAACAGACAGACAGGAACAACTGGAGTTGCGCTAATTACAACCGCGACCTTGAACAACAAAGTACATCGAACGCGTATTAGTTCTATATATCGGAGGTTCCACCTATAAACCAACAGAGAGAATGCCTTGGGCATTAAGTCCGCCGATGTACAAATGTGCATAGTTATAAATAAATAAATAATCAGTATCCTTTTCCCTCCATTTCCTTCCCTTCCTAACTGCCCTAATCTATCCGTCAATATCTTCAAAGAAATTCTAAATTCCTAAGAAATGTACTCGTAGCTGCTGTTTGTCTCTTTCTACCATCACTTGAATCTAAGTCTGCACATATGTTAAGAGAATATTAAAGCTCGTATTGTATCATTAACACTTACCGTCTGTAAACATATACATACGCTTCAACTTCAAGTGTTTAACGAGACAGTAAAGCGAGAGTTTGACCAATATGTAATACAAATAAAATATCTAAATGACTTTAAGAAAAAATACACAAAATAAGACACATCAATAAGGCAAGAGATGAATTGATAGGTACAGTGGGCCGGTCATGTGTCGCGCCTACGAGGCCAGAGAAGGACCAAAAGGATGACCGCACGGGCAGGTCCTCAAGGCAAAAGAAGAAGCTAGAAGTAGCTAGTTGAGAAGTTGAGCTCAAAAAACCCCATCTAAATTAAAGTTGCCCAATCTATAAGGACAGGATTGGCTATCTTTGGCGGCCTTTACCTATAGAGGGGTTCTTGCATAGAAACTAAATAATACAGTAAATTAAAATTTGTGTAAAATCTAAACTAATAACTAAATTTCTAAATACTTATCTTATTTATAGAATTACCTTTAAAATTAATCTACGACGTAGTAAAATGCTTTTTATGATTTGATTAAATTTTTTGTTCTTATAATGGTTGATTTTAACCGACTCCAAAAAAGGGAGGAGGTTTTGAATTCTGTTGTTTTTTTTATGTTTGTTAGCACAGAGCTCAAGCGCTTATGAACCGAAATGGAAAATTATTTTATTTGGGAGGATTTACTTTCCGATATAATTTTAAAAAGATAATCCGTTTATTAAAATGTTTTGAATGTAAAGCTTTAGCCGACTTTAGGTGTTCAGTGTTCACATAGAGATATGGCCCTCAACATGTAACTTTACAAGAAATAAAAAAGGTGTAGGTATGTCGAAAGAGCGGTCATAATCACCATTAGGGACGGCGCGTGTGGTACCTTGGGGTTTGTTCTCTATGCGATCCGCCGGCCAACAGCTACAAAATGATACCAATAAATATGTCACAATACTTTAACTAAACAAAACTACCTTAGTTTATTTTTAGTCGTGTTCAGATCGGTGCCGACATGAAGCTGTTGCAGGGAAATCAGCGCCGCAGTGCACTATGTGCGAATGGTCTCCTTGTCACACAATGAGGTGGTTCAATACCGTATCGATGTTCGGTAATCACATCACTGACACAGCTGCGGAACAGAGTGGAAGGCGCACACTCCACGACCGCGGCACGCATCAAACTGGCTGCGCGCGAGCATGCGACCGCGCGGGCTCGGCCGACGAGCCGCCCTACTCGGCCGGATTGCCCCGGCCCCGCACAACCCTAACCCATCCACTCCTCTGGCAGTCTGAGACTCCGGGCTCTGGCCGCCCGCCGATCTACTAAGGGGTGCCTAAGTAGTCGTAGAAAAACGTTATATCTATTATAATTATAATTAGTTACTATCGGTCACTACCCTAATCGATGAAAATGTTAACCAATCAGGGAAGACGACTTTACGTTATGGGCAGAGGCAAATAAGAATATTATTGCTTCTGTATGTGTACACTGCGGTACATGAATCATTCGCCTTTAATATTAAATGTTTTTAACCTAACAACTTAATCAGTTATTAAGTTGTTACGTACATTTTTTTGAAGTTTGTAAAGTGAAAGATGAAGTCGGTTGATAAAATATCGTATCATTAGTTTTGGACTCTAATTAATCAATTTACACTTAAACAGAAGAAAGTTTTCTCCCTTTAACCGTTTTTCTAAGAGGAGAAGGTGTTCACTTAGTTCCTTCTATTTATAATAAATGTTAATTTTATTTAAATGTATGGATGTTGAACGATATTATGATTTGTTGCTTACAGCAAAAACAACATCCTTGGAGAAGGCTGATTGTCGCCATCGGTGTATTGCACCTTTGGCTCCAACACAGGGCACACATTATGTGAAGCAGCCAAAAATCTAAAATTATCTAGGACGAGCTTAGGAGTTAAGTTATGTAAATTTTTCCTTTTTTATATAACTTTACACATTTCACACACGGCAGTCTGATTCCAGACTAGGCAGAGCCTGTGCTATAGTAACCAGACTGCCGATAAACATATTTATATATATATATATATATTATAGATAAAATACATCCAGACACAGAACAAATCATCGTTCTCATCACACAATTATTAATCCTCAGTGGGAATCGAACCCACGACCGCCGGCTCAGCAGTCACGGTCACTAACCACTAAACCAACAGGCCGGGCCGCCCGTCATAAAGCATTAGCGCCCCGCTGTTAAACATATGTGATTTATTTATTTGTTTAAAGCGTTGCGTCAGTTGCGTGTCGCAACAATTGAACCCTCCGAGTGTGCGGACACCCCGCGACGGACGCTGGCGCCGCTCGCTGCACTGAGGGGTTCAACTTCAACTGCTACTGCACTACATATCAAGCGTCTTAAAATTCTTATGAGTAGATTTTTTAATAATGCTGTGATCTCTTTGCTCTGTTTTTAATCGGCAGCCAATTCCTGGTAGTTGATAACCTAGGGAAGCTAATTTCCTCTATTCTTGATAGTGCGTCCGCAACTGCGTTGTGTTCACCCGGGATATGTTGGATGTCCGAGCAAAATTGCGAGATGATGCTTTCTTACCGATCGCGCATGGTTTTTTCTAAGCACCTATTTTTACATTTTCGCAAATCTAAATAAATAAACTGAAGCGCCGAAATGTATATACGCGCATAACTTCTGAACGATAGCACTAAACTAGATAATTCTTTTTTCTGTGTTCGTTATTGTCAGGACAAGACAAAATGTATAAAACAAAATTAATAAAAAGCGAAAGATAAAAAACTCATTATTTGAAAAGTTGGTTGGTTATAATACAAGCTCTGAGCTCTTAGTTTGGGACTAGATGGCGTTGTATGAATGTGGTATAAAATATTATCATTATTATTCGTATTACTTTCGTATAAAATAGAATCAATTAAGAAACTAGTATTAAATTTGGAGAAATTGAATTTGCTAATAACTTGTCATGAAATTGTTCCTCATCACACAAAGTATTGCCATATCTTTTTCTAAAAACGCTTGCTTTTCTCTCAGGGCACAGCGATGGTCAATTTCCATCAGGTGACTCGTCTGCTCGTCTGCCCCTTTTAACATAATATATATATATATATATAAGGGCAACGTATATAAACTTTACTACAACAAATATTAGACAATGTAAACAAATAGACAAAAGTCAAAAGCACAATCTACAGATCATATCACTAACTGAGGCGTAAAACGACAAATAAAGTTATACCTCAGATTTAGGCTTTATTCTTCAGATAATAACTATCTGACCATTGAAAAATACTAAATTGCGCTAACTGTGGAATAAATGCTATCGAACTGTTTATCTGAGGATTGAAAAACCGGCCCTTAATAAAATAATTTAATTGATTTAAATTAGATTCTGATTGATTACAATTAAAGTTTTAATAGTTAGTATCAAAAAATAAACTGAAGTATCATATTATCTAAAAATACCAAAAAAATACAACACTTAACCTAACAACTTATAAACACGTGCACGACCAATGCATCTGTTTTTGTTATTTACTACAGCTTTTATGAAAGAAAACCAAGACAATCTAAAACGAAATCAGCTTTGCTGACTTCTCTCTCTTTAAAAACAACCCAAACTCAAACTCAAACTCAAACTTTCTTTATTACATAAAATTTACAAAATTGTTTGAAATCGTCTTCCATGTAGACTCTAAAGTCATAGATCAACACACACAAAAGCAACAATCTCTGTTTTGTCAAATAGTAACCAAATAAATTTAACAAAAATCAAACCCATACAAAATCTATGATATGCCTGTGCCGATCTACAACCGCCCGTTTCCAAGGGGTTGAGCCTTATGAGAAGAAAGGGCAAACAAACTCATGGCCACTCTTTTGCAATTCACAAGTAGATACAATGGCACTATTAAATATATCACAACATTGTTTTGATGTGTGCTAGTATGTCCGTTATTAAGGACTTAAAGGTGAAAAAACAACGAAGAGAAAACAAGATTAAGAAGAAAAAACGAGTACAAGAGAAAATGAAGTGAAACATAAAAATAGAAAAAATAATAATAATAAAAAACATACTAGCCACGCCACATTTTTACTTAAGAAAGAAATAGCCTGCGCTAATTAATCCCAAGCATTCTTGTCCTCCATGTAATCCACAATCGAGTAGTAGGCCCTCTGGCACAAGCCACGTTTTATTGCGGATTTAAATTTGTTAATACTCAACTCCTGAATATTATTTGGGATTCCATTATAAAATCGGACACATTGACCTCGAAAAGACTTGTTTATCTTTTGGAGCCTAGAGGCAGGTACAACAAATTTATCCCAAACACCGGTCCTCCGTCATATACAATTCAAACTTCTTTTGCAACAGCGAAACGGTTTTTGATGTGTCTTTAGAGGTATGCTGTCGTGTTATTTATTGTTATTGATAGAAAAACGCTACCAGTGAGGAGTCAAAATATCGGTCGGCGCACACGTCAAGCAAGTCAAGTTCATAATCTTCGAGACAACGAGACTGAAGAAGAGCGTAGGCAGCTTTTAGGGGCAAACAGAATGAGAATTTCTCAAACGAGATCTACCACGACTCTGGAAGAACCCACACCATTGACTTCAAGCGTGGGACAACAAAACAGACGATCAAACGTAACAATTACCTATGAACGTTTGGCGTAATACAACAGTCGATTACGCCGGCTATAAATCGATCGATTTAGGAACAATGAGCACTATTTGTGTCAATATTGCAATGCTTTGAGGTTTCGACCCGAACCGCCAGAATTATGTGAACAGGTCAAATCACCACATCTCAGGGCAAGAACCTCTAGCAAAGCATATCTTGCAGAATATTCAAAATTATAATAGTGCGTTCCAAACGACATCATTTGGTGCAAATATAATTGGAGAATGTGGTTTCAATCATACTTTTAAGGTACGTTTTTTTACACATATTATACACATCCATTGCAACATAATCCTACATAAATATATGAAATCCTATTGAGGCTCATAAAAGAAGAGTTCTTTAAATATTTCCCTATTTTCAATATTACAGATTCAAGGACAAATTTACCACTGTATAGGAGCATAGTTGCCATCAGTTGATGGAAATTTGTAATCACCACAAATTTCTTCAAGTTTATTTCCTGAGTAATTCTGAAGCTTTTTTTCTTTAAAGCAATATATCCTGTGTCGCGGGGGTCTTTACAAACATAAATTAAACGGACACAAACACCTAGACAGTATTAAGCGGCGAGGTGACCGCTTAAACCACTACGCCATCCGTGAAGTCAAAGCTGAAGTAAACCAACTCTGTTCTATCTATCGTTCAGGTAGGAGAGAGCTACAACTCTTACATGAGCATAATCAGTCGCAGTGTGCCTTGCATTCGCAATGACTATTAATAAATCCCAAGGCCAATGGTAAGCAGCGAGTGAAATAAAAATGTATGTGCTCGAGAGTCTGCAAACTATCGGCACAATTTGTTTTCTCTCCAGAAGGAAAAACCAAAAATATTGTACATTACAAGGCATTAAATAGGTTAAGATCGAATTATTTTTAGGGTTCCGTACCTCAAAAGGGAAGAAAACGGAACCCTTATAGGATCACTTTGCTGTCCGTCCGTGTCCCCTTTCTCTCGGGAACGCGTGGAGGTATCGAGTTGAAATTGAAACCATATACTCAGGTCTACAGTTCCTTGAAACTTAAAGAAAAACAAAGAAAAAAAACCCAACATGTGCGAGTCGGACTCGCCTACCGAGGGTTCCGTACATATTTGTAATCGAAAACTATATATCATAGAAATAATTAAACATCTGTTTAAGCTTGTTGAGGCCCTTTCGTACGATACCCCACATGACACGGTTAACTTAATTCAAAATTTGGACCGCCGTTCCTTGCATAAAGATCCTGTTTTTTTATGATTTAATTACAAATATATAGTTTTCAGATTTTTCCTTACACTAGTAGTATTAGACGGTATTACTTGCCAAATTGCTATAGAAGAAGAAAACACAAAATATTTATTAATACACAAATATTAATAACAAAGTAGACGCTTTTAAATTACATTAAACGTTACTTATAGCTTTTGAATATACATGCTTAACTGAATATTATACTAACTGAATCAGAATCAGAATTTTAAGTTTAGCAGTCTGTTTGAAGAATTGAAAATCGGAATGTCGTTTTTCGGACCCAGAACCCATCGAGCATTTGATTCTTCGAACGTATAAAAATTGGAAAACAAACACATCGCATTTACGACTTTTGGTAAATTAAATTTCGTGAATTTTAATAATAGATATTATAATTCTTAAGTAATATGAAAATAAAATGAAAATCGGAACATCGAAATTCGGAATAAAATATTTCGGAGTATTTGGGTGTTCCCGCCTGTATAATGCGGAGACAGGCGCAAATAGTAAAACAAGTCTTTCAGGAAAATCACATGCTTTTATCATTTTTCTCAGGCTTTACCAAATAAAAATTGTTTTACACAGAATTTAAAAAAACTCATTTTCTTTATATTTTTCACTACAAGACGCTGCAATTTGTTTTTTTTTGGATTGGGATAGTATAAAATTGGAGAATCACTCCTATGAATAAAAGTAGTATTTTGAAAACTAGCGCCCTATTGCAGTACTAAACAAACGTACATAATGTACTTAGGGCCATTATCGCTGTACGTACACTAGGTAACAAAATAAGGAGTACCGATACACTATAAACGCTTTATTATGTACATGTTGTAACGCTTTGTTATTATGAGTTAGCAATTTTTTTTGCTAATTGGTAACTAAACTAAAATTTCTAAAAAAAGTCCGTGATAATATATGTTTATCTCTTAAGGATAACCCACAGTAACCATTTTTATCTTTAAAATATTACAAAACAATATGGGTGGTAAAATGGGTTATTTACGAAGTTATTTGAAACAATACATTATTATTCCTTATCCTTAAGGAAGGAAGTAACTTACATACGTTGTGCATTTAATATAGATTATTATTGCTAATCTACATTAAATGCACAACCTATTTAATGTATTTAATTAGATGAGAAAAAAATCCTGTGGTAGAAAATTCTATGATTTGTGGTAGAATTCTCAGAATACATCATGGTCACATTGAATAATGTTTTTTTTAATTATTTTATTTATGACCATAGATACAAGTCTTTCAGTCGAAAACATAGATGGGTTTAAACTTACTTAGGAATTAAATATTGAAGATGCCCGGTGTTGCCACCTAGTGGATTTTTCAATAAAACTGGTGTTTTCGGTCCCCATTTTAGTGGCAGAATTTTGCTTGTAGAGCCAAGATGAACTATAATAATATAATAATAATATTTATTTATTTCCACAAATAATTACAGTAGTTACATAATTTTTACATTAGCTGTATAGGTCTCAAAGGAAGGTAGTGATCCCTGACTCTTAAACTAGGCATGGCCTGTATCTTAAGAGGAAGTGTTCAACCGAGATCTCATTTACTTGATTCTTGTAGTAATTGTTGCTATTGGTGGAAATGTTAAGACTTGGTTATTGAAGTGTGTGTGAAAGAGTATGTATGTGTGTGTGGGTGTGTGTGTATGTGTATGTTCATGTGTGTATGTGTTTGTTTGTGAGTTATGTTATGTAGGTCAAAAGAGCTTCTGTTTGTTCATAGTTTTGTTTCAGTGTGTGTGTGTTCCTGGATGTGTGGGTGTATGTATGAGGGTGTGTATGAGTGTGTGTGAATATGAGTTGTTGTGTGAGTATCAGTTTAATGTAATGTTGTCAAGAGATTTTCTGTTTCGTCGTAGTCTAAGGCTAACAGCCATTTTGTCAGTTTGTTTTTTAATTCGAACTGAGTTTGGTATTGCAAGCCTACAGTGTAATTGATTTTATTGTAAATTTTGTATATAGAGATAGGTAGCTGACGTGAACAAAAAGTGGTTCTGTGAGGAGGTATATGGCAAAGCCTATTTGAGTTTCTTTTAGATCGATCTGGCAGGGGCACTTGGGGAAGAGTGCGTATAATTGCACGTAGTATGAAAAGTTGTCTTACAGTAAGGGTTTTTGAGATTGAATATAGTTCTCTTGTCGGGAATCTAAAGTTTTTGAAGTGGATAACCTTAAGCACTGCTCTCTGCGCTCTTTCAATTTTCATAAAGTAGGTCTTGTTGGCACATCCCCATATTGGGATGCAGTAGGTTATGATGGATACACATAGAGCGGAGTATACCAAAAAAAGTGTTTCGGTGTCTGCAGAATGTCGGAGGGTTTTAAAGGTATGTATAAGGTGCCTGACTCTGGTGGTGAGCATGTCAATATGGTGGTGCCAGTTTAGATTGCAATCAATATAAATGCCTAGGTATTTTATATGGTCTGATTGGGATAAAGGCTGGCAGTTGCAGGTATTTGGTTGATTACAGTGTGAATGTACATATATTTTGTAATTTGGTGGTGGTTGCGTAAAATTTCTAATGGTAAAAGGAATAATTTGTGTTTTAGATAGATTTAGAGGTAAAAGATTATGTGAAAGCCAGTTATTTATAATTATAAGGTTTTTTTCAGCAATCGTTTTGACATGAGACCAATTTGAACCATGAACAACAATAGCTGTATCATCTGCATAAGTATAAATATTAGAGTTGGGAAGATTAATATCACACAGTTGGTTAATGTAAAGTAAAAACAGACCAGGACCGAGGATTGAACCCTGGGGAATGCCATATTCAATGCGTGCATAATTACTTTTTAGTCCATTTATTGTAATGCTTTGAAAACGGTTGTTAAGATAATCTTTGAAAATATCATACGTTATTCCTCTTACATCCACGTTGTAAAGTTTTTGGAGGAGGCTGGGTATATGAACTGTATCAAACGCCTTTTGTATGTCTAGAAAAATTCCTAGACACTTCTGTCCCTGGTCTAATTTTTTGGAGATGTGTTCAGCCAGGTTCGCGACTGCATCTTCCGTCGAAATACCGGATCGGAAGCCATATTGATGGTTGGAAATAATATTATTAGAGTTTAGAAAATTTAAAAGTCTGTTATTAATAATTTTTTCAAGGACCTTTGACATAGTGGGCAAAACAGATATAGGTCTGTAGTTTTCAATGGAGCTCCGGTCCCCCTTTTTGTAAATGGGATGTTCTAGAGCCTTTTTGAACGCATTTGGGAACACACCTGTACGGAGAGCGATGTTACAGATATGAGTAATGATAGGGACAAGGGATCCACTATTTGATTTGAGAATTATAGGTGAAATACCGTCCCAGCCGGTAGAAGAGTCAGATCGTAGCCCTCTGATAATAGCATCGACTTCCATGTTGTCTGTGTCGGGAATCACCATGGAATTCAAAATTTCAGTGTGATTACTTTTTAGAAGGTGTATGATGTCAACTTGTGGATTAGGTTTAATTTTACTGGCCAGAACTTATTTCTACGAAGTATTTGTTGATTGAGTTTAGTGCTGTTAAAGAGTCTCCAGATTTATTTAATAACTCCAGGGGGGGGTATGAGGTTTATCCATATTTGTGATGGTTTTTAAGGTCTTCCATGTAGCTTTAAGGTTATTTTTACATTTTAATAGTTCATTTTTTTCATGTAATCTTTTTAATTTACGTAAGCGTTGGTTGAGATAATTGCGATAGCGGGTGTAAGTTATTTTAAGAATTTGATTATTATCAGAAACTTTAGCTTTTTTATGAAGACGGTCTCTATTTCGTATACATCGAAGTAGTCCTGCTGTAATCCAAGGTTTAAGTGTAATTTTTCGTCGCGACACCAAAGTTGTTTTGGAGTGTTTGGTAATAATAGAAGAGAGTGTTGAGATCAGGGCATCAGTGGCAAGATTTGTGTGTGTACGATAACCTCAAGAACATTTGGTAGGAAAGGAATAATAAATATTGGATAAAAGTGTTCAGAAAGAGAAGGATTATTAATTTTAGGTAATGGGATAACGTAGGCTTTGTGGCAGAGAGAGGTTTCGGAGTAGAGAAGGAAGTCAATAATGTGGGCTACAACTTCGAGTACGTAATCAAGGATGGTAACTATCTTCCTACGGCTTGGAAACCATTGCGTTACAGCAGTCAGACAGGATGATCTTTTTGATGTCCCCAGAAGGTACAGGATAAAATTCAAAGTGTCTGGGTCTGGGCAGACTAGCGATATAATCCAGGGTCCAGTTGTGTAGCAGAATATAAAATAATGTTTAGTGTTAGAAACAGATAAAAAATAATGTTTAGTGGTCAATTTAGTGTCTATATAGAGTAGGGTAGTTTTTCGTTAGTGGATTTCTGGTGGTTTTAGTTAGTGATGTCGAACCTGGTGGAGAGTTCATTTTACTGTTGGCAACACTGAAGATGCCACACAAAGTACCAAGGTAGACGAGTGACTACATGTTGTGTATGTTGCGATTGTATTTAGTGGTGAATTGTGCATTATTTCGTTGAAAAGTGGTGTTTATAGATCCTGAGTAAACACAGTTTAAATTATACATAATTTAGATTTTTGTAGTTATAAGTGCGTGTTGTGGCGCAAGTTCTTTTGACAAGTATGGAATTGGTAAGAACTTTTTCACATTGACAGGTTAACCCTTGTTATTTGCAAATAATTATAAAATCCACAATTTGAAAACACTTTGTTAAATCATAATGTTAACAACCTTTAACAATAGTGTTAAAGTTTGTTAACTTTCTAGGGTTATGTTTGCAAGTAATGGAAAAACGTGCCTAAAACTAAAATCAGCCATTTTAACCATCAGTAACAATTGCACATTTTGCACTGTGTGAGTGTGTACAGCAGGGGCTGGTGGTATTTAGCAGAACCACTAGTTCTCTTGAAAACCACCAGCTCACCACTCGTGAGCTACTGCAGTGCTCCAACAGTGACTATATTTGCACCATATTCCACTAGTTCCAGTGTAGTAACTACCAGTGTAGGTCATAATTATTTGTCATTGGTGTAAACGCAGCCTCATCAATACATAGTATTACCAATATCAGGGTTTTGTATTTACATTCTATCTGAGAAATATATAACTATTTCAGGTTGGTGATGATTGATGGTATATTTTATATAGGGCTCTCCTTAGAAAGGAGGTTTTGACCTACTATACCACGCTGGCCCAGACGGATTGATATAGGGTTTGTTTCAAGTTTTCCTTCTCTTTGCAGTGCTGTTGTCCTGCATAGTATATACATATATTTTAAACATAAAATCTCATTTTGATCTAGAAATGGAAAATTTAGATCGTAAGTAGATAAGATTTTGGCACTATTTTTAAAGTCCACCTAAGTATTCTAAGAGAGGTACCATTTGACAGTTGTGACAGATTGAAGTAAAGCAATGGGGTCAAAGAAATTGATTATTACAATATCCAATTCTGAAAAGTTATCAAAATCATTACTTAGTATGTACTAGTCGATTACAGTTTTATCCATGTTACAATAAGAAGCCTATGTAACAGCATATCATAGGTTTTACTAGTAAATCTTAGTATATACAGCCTTGGCCAAAAGTATTAGGTACCCCAGAAAAATGCACAATTCATGTTTACTGATTGAACAATGAATAAATGCTTATCTTAGATGGCATGCCGGGGTCACAAATAACTTCCTAGAAAAGCAAGCAGCTATCTGTTATGGTCATAAAACACCTGGTGACTGAAAATTTGTTTTTATGCGTTCCTATCAGTCAATGTTTGGTCACTTGTGTTCAGGACTCTAACGAGTAAACAAGCTTTTATTTCTAACATAGTGATTAAATTGACACGTAATTTATTTAAAAATGCCGAAAAGAAGTGAAATTAATTTGGAAAATACTTGTTGTTTTTTAAATGTAAAACACTAGTAAAGTCTTGATGTACAGCCTTGGCCAAAAGTACTAGGCACCCTACATTTTACTTAAAATAAAGAAAAAAAACAACTTATACTTTTTGAATATATTTATTACCATTAAAATTTACAAAAAGGAATGAAAAAAACTTAAAATCTAGTCGGTCCACCTTTGGATTTAATTGCTGCACTAATTCTAGCTGGCATGCTGCGTACAAGTTTAGTACAATCCTCCCTTGTAATGGCATGCCACTCTTGTACTAACGCATTTTTTAATGGCGTTTTTGATGTGATACTATGGTCTTTAATCTTGCGCTTCAAAATGCTGCTAAGATGTTCAATTGGGTTCAAATCTGGTGACTGCGCTGGCCAATCAAACAAGTCAATGTTGTTTTCAGTAAACCAACGCATCGTAGTCGCTGACTTATGAGAAGGTGCATTGTCTTGCTGGAATATAACTCCCTCTAAGTTGGTATCGCCGAAAATACTCGTTAGCGAAGGCATAAGCGCAGTTTTAAGCACTTTTATGTACTTTTCGCTTATCATACGACCTTCGCAAGCAAACATTTAGCCAATCCCATCAGTAGCCATGCAGCCCCAGATCATTATAAAAAAATAAATTACTAAGTACTCACAAATTGCCGGAGTAAAAGACACCAATTGTAAAAAGCTCAAAAAAACTTGTATAAAAAGTGAAAAAAGTTCATCAGTCTATTTTTCCACAACTTTCTTCTAGCCGTATTTTTGACTTTAAGTACTCTTGACCCTATTAAAATGTGCTGCGGTGGATGCTGTGGAGGTTGCTGTGGTGGCTGCTGTTGCCCCTGTATAACCATCTACACCTGTTGCACCAAGATCTGCTAATATCAAAAATTGCACTGGCCGGCGGGCTCGACTGGCAAGCCGAATTTTAGGTGCTTCAAGATGAGTAACCGGCCTCGGTTTTCTATGTGGTCCTTTTCCGTGCCGTTTTGTGGAAATATACTTCTATAAAATATTATGCTGCCTCCTCCATGCTTTACTGTCGGTCCGACGCAATCTGGATGGTATTCTTCGCCCACACGTCGCCTCACGAAGGTCACAACTGGCGTTCCAAATATCTGTTGAAAAAAGAAAAAAAAAACACCTTTTTTTAAACTGCCTTAACTTTTATTATTTTAGTTAAATAAATAACTGACCATGATTATTAATAACAAAAGCAGTATAATTTACTTACCTCAAAGTTAGATTCGTCAGACCATACCACATTGGCCCAATCTTCCTCAGTAAAATGTTGATGCCGTAGAGCCCATTCAAGTCGTTTTCTTTTGTTAGCCTCTGAAAGCCAGGGCTTCTTCCTGGCTTTGCATCCTTTTAAGCCTGCTTCTCCAAGTCTTCTTCTTGTGGTCCGAGCACTTATTGGCTTTCCAGCCTCTTCGGACAAAGTAGCAGCAAGATCTGATGATGTTTTCTTCCGATCTTTCATAGATTCGCGTATTAATTTTCTATCCTCGCGCTTCGAAGTCACACGTTTTCTGCCTGTTCTTGGTTTATTAGCGTGACTGCCAGTCTCAAACGGATTGCCCGTTTGATAGCAGATTGCACAGCGCACACGAACATTTCAATAACTTAGCAATTTCTTTTTGCGACTTCGCTTGTTCATGGAAAAGTTGTATTTTTACTCGGTTTTCCAAAATAATTTCACTTCTTTTCGGCATTTTTAAATTAATTACGCGTCAATTTAATCACTTTGTTCGAAATAAAAGCTTGTTTACTCGTTAGAGTCCTGAACACAAGTGACCAAACATTGACTGATAAGAACGCATAAAAGCAAATCCTTTGTTTTCAGTCACCAGGTGTTTTATGAACATAACAGATAGCTGCTTGCTTTTCTAGGAAGTTGTTTGTGATTCCGGCATGCCATCTAAAATAAGCATTTATTCATTGTTCAATCAGTAAACATGAATTGTGAATTTTTCTGGGGTGCCTAATACTTTTGGCCAAGGCTGTATGTTCGGGATCTTTATTATGGCGTAATATAAATCTTGGACCAACATTAGACGGGTCCCAGAGCTCCCACCGGCCGCACCTCCATCATAGACCCACCGTGTTAACGAAGCCGCAGTGCCTCCTTCACAGTTTGATTCGATCTAAATATATCAAACTATCCTTCAAACCTATCAGCCTCGAGCACCTGTTGCCAATCTGCAGTTATGCAATTCTTGTGCTCTTTTGACCAATCAAGTCTCTTCTTCCTTATAATAGTTCCCGTCCCAGTGTTTGTTGGTCTAATGACACCCGACACCTACTGCACATAAATAAATAGTCACTCCACGGATGGCGTAGTGATTTAAGCGGTCGCCACGCCGCTTCCTACTGCGCCGAGTGTTGTGGGTTCAAACCCCACATGGAACGACACTTTGTGTGATCCACAAATTGTTGTTCTGAGAATGGGTGTTTTTTGTGTCCGTTTGTTAGTAAAGTCCCCCGCCTTTAATTTTTTTTGTATATATATACGTATTTTGCGGTTACTTACAAACTATAAACCCAAATAAAATGGTTCTAAAAGGTGTACTCTTCGTAATGTAAAGAAAATTACATGTGGCCAAAAGCTTTGGTTGTATCTTTGGGAACTTATATTATTATTACATGTTATATTTCATTGTATTATACATACACCTGCACATCTAGCAAACTTTAGCTTACATTATAGATTACTTATTGCTTTACTCTATCGTAGATTTAGTTTTACACAACACACATCTCAGGAGACGTAATCGAAACACGTGAAAGACACGCCGAGTACCGTTTTCTTTGGCGATCAGTCACACGCCAGCGGTGATGGTATTTCCGCAAAAATAGCGTTCTATGCGACCGGTCATCGGTCGGTCGGCTGCAGATCTGGTGCTTAACGCCTAGTTTCCTTATTATTATTCTTTATCGAATAGTTTGCCTGGCAAGTTTTATAGTTAATGTGATCAGTTGCAGGGCGGAGACACTCATTCGTTGCAGCCGCCGCTGCCGCCGGGCGCCGTGGCGCTGCCGGGCGGGGTGCTGCTGGGGGCGGTGCCGGCGGGCGCGCTGCCCCCGGGCGCTCTGCCCCCGGGCGCTCTGTCGCTGGGCGCGCCGGGCGCCATGGGGCCGCCGTCGCTGCCGCCCGCGCTGTCCGGTGAGTCCCCGGCGCGGTGGCGGCGGCCGGGCCCTCGCCCCGCCGCCGCCACGCCGCACTCAACAGGTCGCTCGCTCGCTGTTGCAGGCGCCGCTCGCCGCTGCAGCCCGCGCCCGCCGCCCCGCGTCGCTCGCCGCGATCCGTGCGCCGCTTCGATTCTTTCGTTTCGAAACCATCCTCAGTGATCAGTGTTTCTGCTTTCTGTTTCAGGCTAGATATAAGTTAGGTTTTTGCTATACGGTGACGCGTCGGCTGCGGCTGCGGCGCCGGCAGCGCTCCGCCGGTCTCACAATGTACCTACTTCATTATACCGCATCGTTCCCAGCGTGCTTGCCGACAAGCGCGCGCAGCTCCGTCGCAGCCCACGGCCGAGCCACGGAGCTGCGCGCGCGGAGTGACAGCGGGCGTGTGTGCGTGCGTGACTGCGTCCACTGCTGTTAGCCGACCGATCGGAAAAGACACGCACTGATCGAACGTAACTCTTTCAGGTGGATTCCACGCCGCGCCCATCTACGACTTGCAGCAGGTCGGCGATGTGTTCACAGGTGAGTGTCGCGGGGCCGTCGCCGCGCCGCCGCTCGGGACTCTTCACGGACTGAGCCGGTTCGGTGTTTGTGCAGGTCCCGGCGCGAAATGCTCGACGCTCCCGGCGATCCTGGGCGGGTCGCTACCGCGCCTGTCCTCGGAGCAGTCGGACGCCGTGACCCGCGCCAAGAAGTACGCCATGGAGCAAAGTATCAAGATGGTGCTGATGAAACAGACGTTGGCGCATCAGCAGCAGCAGATGGCCTCGCAGCGCACGCAGGTGCAGCGGCAGCAGGCGTTGGCGCTCATGTGCAGGTACGGAACTGTCCGGCGCGACCGCCCCCCTTCTCTCGCGACCGCCTTTGTGTGATGTGAGCGATACGCCGAGGTTCCCGCCGCCGAGCAGGTCGAGCCTGTGATCTCTTTAGCTGAAAAGATCTGACGCCCGATCCTCGTATGTGTCATATTTTAATCGCGTTTTCATTTTATACACTAGTGCCGTTTGCGTGTTCGCAGGGTATACGTGGGCTCCATATCGTTCGAGTTGAAAGAAGACACCATTAGACAGGCGTTCCTACCTTTCGGTCCGATAAAGTCAATAAACATGTCGTGGGATCCGGTCACGCAGAAGCACAAAGGTTTCGCGTTCGTCGAGTACGAGATACCGGAGGCGGCACAACTCAGTCTCGAGCAAATGAACGGCGTTATGCTCGGAGGCAGGTCAGGCATACGCATATATATTTTTTATTTTATTGAAGAACAAACAGTCATTACACAGTCACACACTTATAAGACACGCACCCCTGGCGGTGACAGGTGAGGCCATCTGTCACCCTAGCAGAAGCACACACACAGAGGAAGCATGGGGGTTCCCACACAGGGGGGTCGTCTACCGCCGTAGACGGCCCGAGGTACGTCGGGGCACCAGGGATTTCTTTCTAGGGTACACCTGGTTCCCCGACTACTGGTACCTGAGACGGCGTGCGGTTTTAGTCGGTTCGAGTCAGACATAGCCGGTAAGTGGTCGGTATCCAAGGGGATTTCCGAAAAAAAAAGGGTGGTTGTGGTGGATACAAGTCTAAATCAGGATCGGTTCTGGGGCCGATTGTGTTTGAAATATACATAAACGTTATTGTACCACTTTTCGAACACAGTGAATGCTTAATTTACGCTGACGATCTCAAACTCGCAAAACAAATAAAAAGCAAACATGACGCTTTCTACAAAAAGACTTGAACTGCTTAGTCGATTGGTGTGGGAGAAATGGCTTAACACTGAACATAGACAAATGTATATACATATACGATTCTCACGCAGTACTCACTTGAACTCGCAGACACATACCATTAATAATAGGACATTGGAGGAGGTCGCAAGTGTCAGGGATTTGGGAGTTGATTTGGATGACAAAATTAGATTCCACACTCACATTGACAAAATAACAACTAAAGCATTTAAGATGTTGGGCTTTGTTATAAGGAACTCTAAAGATTTTAAAAGTCCACAGACTAAGATTAGACTTTTTTCGGCCTTGGTTCGAATAAGGTCTGGAATATTGTGCTCAGGTCTGGTCACCACACTACGAGGTACATATCAAACGTCTCGAAAGTGTCCAAAAGCCTTTTCTCTGTATATAGCTATCTATATCTGTAATACAGTGAAACTGCTGCCGGCGTATGAAAGTCGTTTAAAACGTTTTAATCTCCACAGTTTGTTCGATCGTAGGCAGTTATTGGATCAGATTTTGCTTTACAAATTAGTTAATGGTGACCTAGACTGCCCCATACTTGTTGAGAAAATAAATGTAAATGCTCCCTCGAGGTTTCTCCGTGCCAATAAATACGCTACTTATTCAATTAAAACTTCTAAAACCAACTTGGGTCAGAGCGCTACTATGAATAGATTACTAAGCCAGTATAACAAGCTGACTAAAAATCGTTAAATTGATGTAGACATCTCCTCAAACTGTCTTCCAAAATTTAAAAGCAAAGTTATTCGTCATTTGGACCTTCTTAGACCACTTTAAATGCGTCACTGTCTCATTTCGACGATGTTCTGTATGTTTTGTATATTATTATAGATATTGCTTTGTATAATCTTAGATGTAACTGTCCCTTACCATACCGTGGCAACTTGTATGTAAGACAACACTCAACACGTATTTGTAAAAAAAACATGTTTGTAAACTATGTATTAGTGTATGTTTTGTAAGTTGTCCTAAATAAATAAACATTTTTGTCAGAGGTGCAGTTAGATTTTGATTAAAACAGAGATATTTGTTGCAACAGATAATTTAGAAAAAAGATTCAAGAACAGTTTTTGAGGCAATGAAAACTGTCTTAAAGGAAATAAGAGGTAGATAAAAAATATCAACTTCACACAGCGCATCATCGTACAAACGGTAGGCTCGTCTAATGAAACTATTACTTGCGTAACAGGTAGTTGCCAGGGGAGCAGCGAATAGTTTCTTTTTACGATAGCTTCTTTCTCGTCTGCACGGAATTCGAAAAGTATTTTTGTAACATTAAAGTGGAATCTACATAGTTATTTAATATTTTATATTAGAAAGTAACATCACATATCGATGTTTTAATAACGTCACTTTATGCTGTTTGGCAGACGTTTCGTAGTCTTCATGTATGTGCCCAGTGCGGAAATCGAGAGCTTTAACAAATTTACGCTGAATCCTTTCAATTTTATCGATGTGAATTTGATAATGAGCCTGCCAGACTACAGAAGCAAATTCCAATCCACTTTGCACATAAGCGTTTTACAACAACTTATAAATTAACGCATTTTTGCAGGGTTCACCAATCCTCAAGATGAAGCCCAATTGCTTATAAGCTTTGTTTACGGTTTTATCAATATGGGGAATTAAAGTTAATCTGGTATTTAAAATAACTCCCAAATCACGAACCTCGGTGACTATCCACAACCCTACCATTCAATTCGTAATCGAAAACGATAGAATTATATTTTTTAGAAAAGGTGATCACATGACATTTGTCTGTATTAAGAAATAAGTTGTTGTTTTGACAGAAAAATTCAAAGTGAATTAAGTCATCTTAGAGTAAATTACAGCTTTATGCTTTTACGTATAATTCGAAAGATTTTTGTGTCGTCGGCATAAGTCAGGACGTTTGAGTTCTTTATGTTATATATTATTCTTTATCTTCCTTTATATAAAATAATTTCTGTAAAATTAAGTAGACTCGTGTCTACACTGCGACCCTTAAAGAAATCATGTTGAAACGGACATATATTTCGCTGCAGCGAATAATTGGTTCGTAACTATCTTTTCCAAAAATTTTGCCAAACGGACAGTTTAGGTATTGGACGATAACTTTCTATGTCTTGACTTGGTATTGGAAGAGAACTGCAACACTTTAATAAAAATAGGGGGGATCCCGGGGAATATATTTTGATCATTAAGGATTTTGTAGGGGTTCCCTTCATCTATTTCTTGGAATTTCACCAAAACAAAATATATTCAAACCAATCAAAATATATTTATGGGATGTTTCAACATTAAAGCTATGCAGAAACAAATTTTTATGCCTGAATTTAGTTCACGTATGTAGAGGGGTAGTTTCCCTTACAGAACTAATAGGTTGCTAGTTTAATAAATGAGGAGACAACTTCCGAATGATGATTTTATTGCTCCTATTAATTTGAGCAATACAAACACGTGGACGCAAGCTGATTTTGTTAACTACTTCAAATGACTCGTTTGCTCGTACAAAATATTCTAAAAGCGCTATCATGGCCCCGGTGTTAATTGAAGAAATTGTATATTTTAGAGTAATAAGTAACGAAAATGTATAAAATCCACACCAACCAAAAATCACTTCCAATAAATTTCACAGGAACATAAAAGTAGTGGGGCGGCCGTCGAACATGCCGCAGGCGCAGGCGGTTATCGACGAGATCCAGGAGGAGGCCAAACAGTACAACCGCATCTACGTCGCCTCCATCCACCCCGAGCTCACCGAGGACGACATCAAAAAGTGAGAACCTTCCTTTAACTAACGCTGTACGCGAGTGCGCCGGGGCCTGGGGGTTCTCTTTAGTGTTGCAACTGCTATTTCAAATTTCACTTTCAATTTGAGCTTTTAATAAAAAGTCTGAAAGAAAGAAAGCCACGACGTTCGGGTCGGTGCCGGGACGATAAATAAAAGCGAATATGTGTTTTTATTTCATAGCCTGAAAACGGAAAGGAGTTTTCCAAAAAGGAGGTTTCTAATTATTAGAAAAATCCAGTATCGATGAACCAAATATTTTTCGATATACTTTCTAAGAACTAATATTACGCCCAATAAAAGATTAAATGACAAGTCGGACCACGGTCTCTGACGCGTCACGCGTGACGTATGAATGACGATTTATTGATTGATGACGATTTTTAAGAATTGTGAGATTTGTTAAAATTTAAAGAGAAATTTATAGATTACGTCGTGTTCAGGCGAAAAGTGTTGTGTTATATTAATTTATCTCGTGTGTTGGGGCTGTTATTATATTTCCCAACATTTAATGTTGAAGTTTGTTTATAGTTGAAGTTAGGTAAAAAATACCAATATTGCAGTTATGAGCGTTTATTGAACACTAAAATTCACTGTATAAATTAAAACCTTATAAACTACAATTTCGCTGACTTAGCTAAGTACGAGTTTGTACATCGTGAATAAACAATACTAAATATCTGCTAACATAGATATCTATTATTTTTCTCTTAAACGCTGGCTCTAAAAATTTTTATCTAACTAATTCCCAATTCCTAATCTGAGCTATATATCAGTGTAATTTGAGCCGTAATGGATTTCATTCGGAATAAAAAAAACGTCCATCCATACTAAAAGTGGACGGCTCCTTTTACTGTGATCATATGAAAGCAATTTTGTGTCAGCGTGTTCGAGGCGTTCGGTCCGATCACGTACTGCAAGCTGGCGTACGGCGCGTCGGCGCACAAGCACAAGGGCTACGGGTTCATCGAGTACGCCACGCTGGCGGCCGCGCTCGAGGCCATCGCGTCCATGAACCTGTTCGACCTCGGCGGCCAGTACCTGCGCGTCGGCCGCGCCATCACGCCGCCCAACGCGCTGGCGGGCCCCCCCCAGCCCTCCGCCATGCCCACCGCGGCCGCCGTGGCCGCCGCCGCCGCCACGGCCAAGATACAGGTACGCGCACACGCCCTGCCACCGCCGATATAAGCTGCTGCACTCGGGTTGGACTTTGTTGACGCTATAACATTTTTAGGTATAACACTAGATCCTGAGCTACAGTGGGGCCCGCATATTGATAAATTGTCGAGTAGACTCAATTCGAGAGTTGACTGATGTTGATACAGCACGACTTACTCACGTACGGTAATCGACTGTGGGGGAATGCTGCCGACGTTCAATCTATTTTTGTACTGCAAAAGATATAAAGTGAAAGAATATGAAGTGCTCAAAGCACTTTATATTTTAGGCAATCGTTGTTCATTGAAGCAGAAATTTAAAGAAATAAACACAATGACAGTGACAAGTCAATATATTCATGAAAATATAATATATGTTCATAAAAACAAATATAGCTTCTTGAAAAGAAGTGATGTACATACATTCTATAAATACCAGAAATATAAATAAACTTGTAGTACCCGCCTCTAGGCTCCAAAAAATAAACAAGTCTTTTCGAGCTTTTTAGAACAAAATCCCAAATAATATTAAAGACGCAATCCGCAATAAAACGTGGCTTGTGCTAGAGGGTACTACTCAATTGTGGATTACATAGAAGACAAAAATGCTTGTAATTAATTAGCGCATACTATTTCTTAAGTAACAATGTGGTGTTTGCTAGTGTGTTTGATATTATTATTTTTTATGTTTCACTTCATTTATTCGATTTTTTTCTAATGCTGTTTTCTCTTCATTGTCTTTTTACATTTTAGTCCTTAGTAACGGACATACTGGCACACATGAAAGCAATATTGTGGTATATTTAATAGTGCCATTGTACCTAACGTGTATTGTATCTATTTAATGTTCAACTCATATCGATGGTCTCCTCTGGAAAACCATAAAAATGTTCGTTATATTTGCCTTATAAATCAAAGCACTTGAATATTTTTATAGTAGTGTCAAATTATCGTATTGTAAACCAAAACCTTCTCAAAATAAGCATCTTTATATATTATCTTCGCAAACTTGACCCGTACATCATGCACTTCTCTGGTGTCCCACTGTCCATTGACATGTCTCTTGCTCAGCACTTTGCCAAAACCAGGGACTTCTACAGATTGTTTGTTTCCTAATTTTAATAATTTCCAGTTGCATTTGAATAATTCTAAAAATAAATATTTTCTAAATGTCATGTGGCCAGAGGCCAGAGTTATCGCTGCGTTTTCTTCAGTGTTGTAGACACTGACTTCCACATTAAATGGCATGTCATCAACATGTCTATTAAAGATACTTTAAGAGGTTTTCTTCATTTGATCTCCTTTGGAAAATGTCATTCTTTAGAAAGATATCTGCACTCTCTACAGCTGTAATAATTATTTAATTTGAAATTACACTATTTCAAGTAATTTCCATTTTCTTTTTCTAAAGTCACTGGATGGGTTAAGGTTATTTAGTGAATTCAAGTAACGTTTCCTTCGTATCTGTATACTATCGGTGCACAATATTATACACCGAGAATACAAGAACGTATCTATGGAAGAGCCACCCGATGACAACATTGCTAATTAAAACGTAGTCGGTATTAAATTTTCCTTATATTTAAATATAAACGAACCTAACCTATCAGATGATTCATTAAAAAGGCGATGACTGAAAAATTACCTATCTACGGCGACGTTTACTATTTTTAAGCGTACTCGATTACGTTTCAGGCCATGGACGCCGTGGCCAGCAACGCGGTGGCGCTCGGCCTGACCAAGCTCAGCGCGCTCGGCGTCTCGCCCGGCGCCGCGCTGCCCTCGCTGGCCGCCGCGCTACCGGCCGGCCTGCCCGCGGGCCTGCCGACCGGCCTGCCCGCCATGCCCGCCGGCCTGCCCGCCCTGCCCGCCGGCCTGCCCGCCCTGCCCGCCGGCCTGCCCGCGATGCCGGCGCTGCCCGGCGCGCTGGCCCCGGCCGCCCCGCTGGTGGCGCCGGCGCCTCCGCCCGCGCTGCTGCCCCCGGGGGTGGTGATCCCGGTGAGCTCTGCGGCGGCGGCGGCGGAGGCGGCGGGCGGCGCGGAGCAGGCGGCGCTGCAGCGCAAGCTGCTGGACGCGTCGCCCGACACGCTGCAGCAGCAGGAGTCGCTGTCCATCTCGGGGCAGTCGGCGCGCCACCTCGTCATGCAGCGGCTCATGCGGCGCCGCGCCACGCGGACGGTGCTGCTCGCCAACATGGTGGCGCCCGACGAGGTGGACGAGGCGCTGCACCACGAGATACAGGAGGAGTGCGCCAAGTGGGGCCGCGTCGAGCGCCTCGTCATCTACAACGAGCGGCAGAACGAGGACGACGACCCCGCGCACGCGCTCGTCAAGATCTTCGTGCAGTTCGCCGAGCCCGAGGGTGAGCGCCGCGTCCTTGTGCGGGTGAGTGAGGTACCGCGGGCTAGAGCCTGACCGCGTGTCGTGTTGCAGAGGCGGCGGGGGCGGCGAGCGCGCTGAACGGCCGCTACTTCGGGGGCCGCACCGTGCGCGCGGCGCTGTACGACCAGGACCTGTTCGACCACGGCGACCTGTCGGGGTAGCCCACGCCGTTTTAATATAATACTAAAATAAGGAGAAGAATTAAAAATAATTTAAGAAGAAAGAATAAATTAAAATTTGACCCGCTCGACGACTTTTACTTTCGCTCCGTCCCCTATTTTTTCGCAGTTCGCCGAAGTTTTCGACTACGCTTTACTACCCTCCTGTACGCTATGGACCATGATATATCTCAGTCATATTTAGTATCGTGAATACTGATAGTGAGTAGACTCCTTTGATAGACCGAATGCCTCGACGTCTAGTGATGTCACAAAAAATGTATAAAACTTGAGGCTGTCGCGAACGTAGTACCTCTCGGCGACTACTGCCACTGTCGTCCGCCACTGTGCTATCAATTGTTCGAGAAGGTCCTAAGCCGTGACGCGTATGGAGATTTGGATCATTAAGTTTGGGCGGTGTCCATCACCTCCTCATTTGGCGGCAGGGTGGACGATTGTGTCGGTTTCGCCCCCCCTGCAGCTCTCTTGCGGCCCCTGTTACGGGAGACCGCCTTGCATTCGGCCGACCCAAGCCGGTGGCCGGACGCTGCACCCTCCGCCGAACAGACGAATCTCAACCACTGTGCTGCGGCGCAGGATCTCTTCCTGCAAACCATGGCACAGTGGTCGATAGGTGTTGCCGTAGTCGCGGAGCCCTACTTTGTTCCTCCGTGTCCAAACTGGATGGGTGACCGGGACGGCTCCGTGGCAGTCGTCGGCTCTACGGCGGCTCATTCCCCGCCCTTGTCGCTAAGAGACAAGGGTACTGGATATGTTGCCGCCGATTGGGGTGGAATCACCATTTATGGTGTATATTTCTCCCCCAACCGGAGTTTGAACGACTTCGAGGTCTTCCTTAACAACTTGGAGGCCTCGATGCGGCGACTGGTGTCTGGGCACGTCCTCGTGCTGGGGGACTTCAACGCAAAGTCCATTGCGTGAGGTTCCCCTACGACGGACGCCAGGGGCGAAGCCGTCGAGGAGTTGGCAAAGGGTTGTCGCAGAAGGAAAGAAATGTTAGATATAATTTAAATATAATGATGCACAACCTAACTTGCCAAATAAATGGACCCTATTGTAATAAATTACATCTAATCGACACTAACAAGCTTGTTAGTAATAATATTTCATTGACGAAAGGTAGACATTACCTTTCTAATTATTATAAGAGACAGATAGCAATTTCGCTATCATATTATTTTTCCATTACAGCCAAGAACTTGGCTAAAACTATTGCTTCTATTGAGCAAATTGACATTACCCATAGCGACTTTGCCAATCCGTTGGCAGATATTTCTTTAGACATTAATAAAAATTTAAATGACATACCTAATAATTTACATAATAATGAGATTGACATTTCAAATAATTTAAATTTACTGATGAGACAATAGAGACTACCTCTTGCACTATTAATTTGATCACTAATAGAAAGTTCAATCACAGTAAATTTATTAAAAATAATATGATAAATAATATAAATTTGGTGCATCAAAACATTAGAGGAATGATGGGCAAAGACTTGGAGGTGGAACTGTTCATGAACTGCAATGCAATTGATATTTTTTGTATTACTGAACACTGGCTAAAAGGGGATCAGTTTATGTTCAATTTTGACCACCACCAGGTAGGCAGCTCGTTCAGCAGAAGTACAGCAATACATGGTGGCACTATGATACTCATTAATAAGAAACTTAAATTTAAAGAGCGCCATGACATTGTTAGTTTATCAGTTGAGCGAACTACAGAAATAGCCTGTTTAGAACTAAAAGGTTTCATAGTAGTATGTGTATACAGACCTCCTTCAGCTATGTATGATTGTTTTGAACGTGTTATGGATGAAGTATTAGTTAAAGTAACAAGATCAAAAAAGAAGGTCATCATCTGTGGTGACTTCAATATTAACCTATTGGAAAATTCAAGTATAGTAACCAAGTTCAAGGCACTTTTTCAATCATACAATCTGAAGAACTTGTTCTTGGAGCCTACACGAATCACTGCCACCACTGCCACATGTTTGGACAATATATTTACAGATATTGTTATTAAGGACAAGAAAATAATCAATCAATTACATTCTGACCACTGTGGTCAATTAGTATCTTTCTGTGATAGGTATGAAAAAGTGTCAGAAAAAAGAATTGTGGTGATACCTAAAACCGCAAAGCGTTGTGAAAACTTTAAGGATAAACTTAAAGCTGCTTTTAATAATTCAGTACTCTGTGTAGAGAATAACCTAATACTTATTATAATAGTTTTTTTGAAACTTTCTCTTCAACATTTAACACCATTTTTACACCAAAAACGCTAGTGGTTAAAGGTAACGCCACATTTAGTGAATGGGCTACCCCTGGCTTACTCAAAAGTAGGAAAAGATTATACGAGCTATACGATGAGAGGAATTATAATAAAAGTGAACAGTTTCATAATTATGTTAAAGAATATTCGAAGCTGTTTAGGAAACTTTACTAACTTAGGCTAAGTCTCGTTTTATTAGTTCAAAGATTAAAAGTAGTAATGATAAGATTAAAACCACTTGGAAAAATATTAATAGTGAAACTGGCAAAGATCCAAACCGTGATAATGAATTTAATTTAAACATAAACAATAAATTTATCACATTAAATGTTGAGGTTGCTGCTGCATTTGAGATTTTTTTTACTAACATTCCTGTATCAACTACTAAATCTTTGAACTCCTCACCATACCTTGCAGAATCAATTTTAAAAGAGAATGTTAGAAGAATTGATAGTGAATTTAAGTTCCAATATGTGTCCCCCTTTGAAATTATTAAAGCCTTTAACACTATTAATGTTAAAAAAACAACCGACCTATGGGGAAATTCTGTTTTAATTACTAAGACAATTATATCTCTTGTGGCTAATCAATTGTCATTTACATTTAATCAATGTGTTGATAGTGGTGTATTTCCTGATCTTATGAAGTCTAGTAAAATTATTCCCTTATTCAAATCTGGTAGTACATCTGACCCAACTAACTTTAGACCTATCTCAGTACTACCAGTATTTAGTAAAATTTTTGAAAAAATTATGTATGATCAATTGCACAGTTGTTTTAATAATAATAATTTATTGCACAATAGACAATTTCTTTCTTTCTTTCTATTTGATGCCTGGGAGGATGCCCACGATTCTCTAGGTATCTTTTGCGATTTATCTAAGGCTTTTGATTGTGTTGTTCATGAAACGCTGATCAGGAAATTACAGCACTATGGTATCAAAAATAAAGCCCTGGAACTACTTGCCTCATATCTATGTAATAGGATTCAAAAAGTTGATATTAATGGTGAGCGGTCTCCAGGCTCTGTGGTAGAAATGGGCGTTCCACAGGGTTCTATTCTCGGCCCTTTTTTGTTTTTAGTATATATTAACGACTTACCTCACTTTGTCAAGGACAATCTCGAGATTGTGTTGTTTGCAGATGATACATCACTATTATTTAGACTAAAACGGACACTTTCTGATTTCACATTTGTAAACAGCGCCATTTCGAAAGTGGTTCATTGGTTTGATGTCAACAATTTACTATTAAATGAACAAAAAACTAAGTGTATACGTTTCACTATGCCAAACGTCAAGCCAGTGAAAACTACTGTGATAATTAAGGATGTCGGGCTGGACCTTGTGGACACTACGACATTTTTAGGTATAACACTAGATGCTAAGCTACAGTGGGGCCCACATATTGATAAATTGTCGAGTAGACTCAGCTCAGCAGCATACGCAGTAAGGAAAATCCGAGAGTTGACTGATGTTGATACAGCACGACTTGTTTACTTCAGTTACTTTCATAGCATAATGTCGTACGGTATTCTGATGTGGGGGAATGCTGCCGACATTCAAACTATTTTTGTGCTGCAAAAGAGAGCTATTCGAGCACTTTATAATTTAGGCAATCGTTGTTCATTGAGGCAGAAATTTAAAGAAATAAATATAATGACAGTGGCAAGTCAATATATTTATGAAAATGTAATATAAGTTCACAAAAATAAAGATAGCTTTTTGAAAAAAAGTGATGTACATGCCATAAATACCAGAAATAAAAATAAATTTGTTGTACCCGCCTCTAGGCTCCAAAAGATAAACAAGTCTTTTCGAGGTCAATCAGTGTCCGATTTTATAATAAAATCCCAAATAATATTCAGGAGTTGAGTATTAACAAATTTAAATCCGCAATAAAACGTGGCTTGTGCCAGAGGGCCTACTACTCGATTGTGGATTACATGGAGGACAAGAATGCTTGGGATTAATTAGCGCAGGCTATTTCTTTCTTAAGTAAAAATGTGGTGTGGCTAGTATGTTTTTTATTATTTTTTCTATTTTTTATGTTTCACTTCATTTTCTCTTGTATTCGTTTGTTCTTCTTAATCTTGTTTTCTCTTCGTTGTTTTTTCACCTTTAAGTCCTTAATAACGGACATACTAGCACACATCAAAACAATGTTGTGATATATTTAATAGTGCCATTGTATCTACTTGTGAATTGCAAAAGAGTGGCCATGAGTTTGTTTGCCCTTTCTTCTCATAAGGCTCAACCCCTTGGAAACGGGCGGTTGTAGATCGGCACAGGCATATCATAGATTTTGTATGGGTTTGATTTTTGTTAAATTTATTTGGTTACTATTTGACAAAACAGAGATTGTTGCTTGTGTGTGTTGATCTATGACTTTAGAGTCTACATGGAAGACGATTTCAAACAATTTTGAAAATTTTATGAAATAAAGAAAGTTTGAGTTTGAGTTTGAGTTTGAGTGGGCGGCGTCGGTGGGCCTCTGTTTGCTGAATAGAGGCTCCACCAACACGTGCGTGCGACAGCAGGGGGGGTCGATAGTGGACCTTTCGTTCGCTACCCCAGCAGTCGCCGCACGAGTAAGGAACTGGTGTGTCCTGGAAGAGGTCGAGACCCTCTCGGATCATCTGTACATCCGATTCGAGCTCTCCCGGTCCCAGGACCCCAGTAGGGGTCACGCGGCGCGGCGCCCTT